ACCTGACACTGATGCTGCTGGTTCAGGGCCATTCTTTGAGAACCACCCCTCAACCCAAATCTCTCCCTTCCGGGTGAGGAAACTGAGTCCAGAATGGGAAAAGCTCTTGCCCAAGGTCCCAGAGTAGGTCTTGTAGTGAGACACAGGTCCCAGGGCTCTGGCTGTTTAACCATAGGGTCCCAATGTTAGAAGGTCTGGGAATAAGTACCTGGGAAAGGTTTGCTGAATTAATGAGTGATGCTTAGAGACAACTTCCAGGAGGGAGAGAAGCTTATCCGTCAGCAGAAGAGAGGCCGTTAGAGGCTGAGTGGAGCCGTTTGTGGCTGCTTGGAGGAATCGCTCCCATGTCAGAGCTTGGAGATAAGGAGGTCAAGATCCCTTCCTCAGTTGAGTGAACCAGTCAGACTTATCTGGGAGATAAGTCCTGACAGGAGACAGAGGCTCACTTCCCCACTCCCAGATTTATCCCAGGTCAGCCCTAGGGCAACAGACATTAATCTAAACCCATCACGAGGTGGATCTTGACCAAAAGGGCCCAACAGTGGGGAGCACTGAGTCACCCCTTAGCACAACTTCAGGAGTCTAAGAAGGAACCCAGGCTAGTTTTCTCCCCAAGACTTGCCAGGTCACTGGAGTAGGCCCTTTTGGTTAAGATCCACCAGGAAGGTTGGCACCACACTGAGGCAGGAGCCTGGGGGCAAGCCTGTGGTAAGTTAAGCTGATTTGGACCAAGTGATTTTACCTGTGTACAGCTCAGCTTCCCGCTGCAAAATGTGAATTAGTAGACTGACCATGTAATTAATAACCCAAAGTGGCAAACTCTGGATAGTGAAAGATGTCTATAATTACGTGACAACAGTATATACACCTCACTGCCCCAGGCAAGGGGGTCCTATGGCCACCCGACTTGAGCTTCTCCATGTAAATAGCAAACACTTGAATGCCTAACTAGAAACAGTTTTAGTTCTTGTAAATGAGCAAAAGGAACTTGCTCTCAAGTAACTTGCCCTCAGCTTGCAAGTGTCAAGAGCAAAGCCTTGAAGCCAGCAGGCTGGGTTGAGGGTCTGCACACTCACCCAGCTGACCCTGCCGCCTGATGTGATACGGGTGCTCCCAGCTCCCCAGGGGTGGGGGTGGGGTGGAATTAGGTCCCATCTTGCAGGGTGCACTCTCAGCACTCCTCCCTGACTGGGCCCCAGGGCCAGGGCTGCCCTGTGGTCACAGGAAACTGATCCTTTCGCTCTTGTTACCTTCTCACACTCAAGTACTTTGGGCCCCAGATTCAGTATCTGGAAAGCAAGTAAAGACTTTCAAAGAAAAGGGAAGACTTTCCAGGAAGAGCTAGGCCCAGGTGCAGTCACAAAGAGGCAGGTCAGGGCCAGGTTGCACTTTGTCTGGTACAATTCACAGGTGCTTACTGGACTAAGCTCAGAGGGAATGTTTGGAAGGGAGTGAGGCATAAAATTGTCTTCAAGGGACTCAGTGTCTTACGGGGGTCAGCAAGTACAAATCAAGAGAGGCAGCAGAGACAGTGGGGGCCAGAATTCAGAAACCAGGGTTCTAGCCCAGGCTCACCACTTCCCCTAGGTTGGAACTGTCCCTCATGTAGATGGGGAAAAAAGACCCCTCAATACCCATTCTTGCTGTTTCTTCTTAAGATGCTGTGTCATTTTAAAAATTTAATTGTTATATAACATTAGTTTCTATATACAATTTTGGAATTATAGATGGTGATGGATGTTAACTAGACTCAGTGTGGTGACCTAAACAAATAGCAAAACATTATAATTATATATGTCACATATTATAATGCAATATGTATAGATTGTAAAATGATCAACATAATAAATCTAGTTAACATCGACAGCCATACATAGTCACAAATTTTTTCTTGTAATGAGAACTTTTTTAATAAGTTTATTTTTACATCATTTTGTACATTTTTTTTTCCATCTCAATTGTAATCCCCACGGGTTTCCCATCACTGAGTCACCCGTGTGCAATCACCATAATCCCGTGCACTTCCCTGCCCC